GTCATCATAGATTAGGAGTTGGGTTTTCTACTTTAAATTTATAGGACGAGAGGTGAACAACTTCAAAACCTGCTGTCGGCACTGTAATTATTAAAGGTTAAAGTTCAATGTCTTGACTTTAAATGCAGAAAAAACTGTCTACATACCTTTCTCCATCCGAAACACCACCTCCTTCGCTTTCTCTGATTGTGTATGATTGCTGCAATATTGACCTATGCCATTGCCCTTCAGTGATTATTACCAATATGGTTAAATGTTTTGATATCCTTATAGATATCAATCTTTCATACCAACCTAATGTTAATTTATTTACTGCGAGCTTGAGGAATCATATATACGTTTTTAATAAAATAAGGAATGTGGCAGATCCTAAATTAGTTAAACAGATCTATGGCTCTCGTACAATCTATAATGGGCCTTTCTGTATGGGGAGGTGCACCAAGAACCACTATTAAACCCCTTGAAATAGCTCAAAGAGCTATTCTTAATGTAAGCACTTTTTACCCCTATTTGTTTCCTACGTATCTCATGTATCAATCATGTGAAGTCCTCTCGGTTCACCAACTGTTCATCCTGCACACTATTATGAAACTACACTTAAGCTCTGATAGATTCACCATTTCCAAGCGCCGCAGAGATACAACTTTCCCCAATAGACCAAAATTTATCAATTCGCACATAAATTTTTCCCTTTTTATTATATATTCTAAAATCATTAGAGAGTGCAAAAGGAAACTCTTATTTGAATATATTTTTTTTATTTATTTAACAAGTAAACTTATAATACACATATGTAACAATCACGAAAACATACACATTTCTATACTCTCTGATATTTATATCCATAACAAATGTACATAATATTCACAAATTGAGGCATGCAATTTTGGGTTAATTTGGAGTACAAATATCATCCAATCAATACAATGCAAATTAGAACTATTCAAATAAATTATGAACTTAAATAAGAAAAATATAAACATAAAAAACGGGTTTAATTAATAAAAGGGAATATGGTAGATATTATACTCTCTTCAGGAGTATGTTTATATAGTATATAATATATAAAAATATTTTATTCATAAACTGAACAATTAATGTACCTCATTAAATATTATACTCATACTCAACCTCCTACACACATTATCATACTACACACGAGGCTTACCTACACTCTACAATTATGTTATTGATTTGTGATCTTTTTGTATACAGTGAAATATAAAATCTTAAAGGAATAGAGCGCTGCTGTCTGAAATACAGATATTAAGTTATCTAGTTCAGACACAGATGTTCACTGAATAGTATTTTAAGTTGTTTGTAACCAAGAAAATAAGATATTCTTTGCTTGAAATAATAAAATTATTATTAAATTGTATCTCGAAAACACTTAATAGCCTTAGTCTTTAATCATGAACCTGATTTAGGTAGTTATTTGTGCCAATTACCAGATGTGTGTAAAAAAGGTTTTTATAAATATCCGAAAATAAAAATAAACAAGTTTAATAAATTATTAAATTGTTGGAAATATTCACATCATAATAATTCCTAATTATAATAATTTTAAATATATAATGTTAACAAAAAGCAAACATAAAAAATAATTGTTTTTTAAATCATGAATTATTAAGCATACAAGCATATTAAGCATTACACAAAATAGATCATTAAACTATATTTTGAGATCGGGCACATTCAATTATTTAATATTACTTTTTATTAATAATGAAATGTAATATTAAACTGAATTATTAACATTTCAAATAAAATAAATAGAGACTACAAGAATTGTCTTAGTGATTGTTAAAGGTACTAATAATTAATAATGTCAAATCTATACCATTCAACATTAATTCTTAATTTTTAGATATAGGTAGTAGGTAGTAGTAGGTTTTTATAAATATCCGAAAATAAAAATAAACAAGTTTAATAAATTATTATATTTTTATAATATTCACATTGAAAAATTCCTATTTTATTATGATGTAAATATAATATTAAACTGAATTATTAACGTTTCAAATTTAATAAAATAAACTACAATTTGTCTTGGTGATTGGTAAAGGTACTAAAATTAATAATTCTTCATTTTTCATAAATCTAAATCTAAATTTTACAGAGATTTTAAAAGTAAACTTGATTAAAACTATTCAATATTCCTGGGAAGAACCAGCTTCTGCCTGAGGTTTGTTTTCTTTCTTTTTTTCAGTCTTCTTTGGCAGGAGCTCTGGATGGATTTTTGGTATGACACTCCCCTTGTGATATTGAAGCACCTTTCAGCATTGTACTGAATTAACTTGCCTTACCTACTTCTACTATTTGTCAGGCTGCCTTTGCGGCTTTGCTGTTTAAACTTTCTGCGGTCAAATACTCTAAAGCAGCTCTTAAGTACACTATTGAGTCGCGTCCAATACGTCTTGGATAATAGCCTTTATGTAGGATCTTAGGTGCTCTTCCAACAGGGAAATTTAGCCCAGCGCGTTTGCTACGAGACTTATATTTTTTTTTTTATTGTGATTTTCTGTATCTTGGTTCCCTCAAATTTCTTGGATTCTGAGATAATATAGCAAATTATAATAATAGCCAAATTATACTCCTTTAGCAATACGGTTATACGAAAAATAATAAATTTAAAAGAACTTCGTACTGTTGATACCACCCGGACAGCCTGTCCGGGCGTTTTTTTTTTTGTTTTTTGCTTATTAAGATAATTTTCTAGCTTGATAGATATACCATTACATAGTGATTAGACTTAGCCTAATAGATTAGAATTAGAATAAGCCTAATAATTCTACGTACACCTTAAAAATGACAATGAAAATTATTAAGTAAAGTACTTACTAGTACCATTTTTATATGACAAATGACAACTAAAAACGCGCGAACACGAATACTACTCCTATGAATTGTGAACCGCAAACATAGATAAATAAATATGTAGACTGCAAATAAAATAATGTCTACTGGTCTGTGTACGTAAAATAATCACACCATAGACATGTGTCAATCATGCACGATTCGTTCGTTTGAACTGGTACACTTAAAAGTATTGATGGTTCATTCATTTGTTTTTGAATGTACCAACCAGTACAACTAATCACAAATTAACAGTACCTTTTTAACCCGCGATTTGTTTGAATTGTGAATAAGCCGCAAACCGACTGAATCCCGAATGATCTGAACAAACAAACAGCTCTCTGTGCCGCAAAATTACTTTTAGCCGCACCACCCCAGGTGGATATGCAATGGGATAAAATAGATTGACACAATGCCATATAAACCATCTTCATAATTTCTGAATCTGCAGATTGACGTAATTGTTTAAAAATGTAGATAAGTTTACGGAATCTGTTTGCCAGGTGTACAATGTAAGCTTTAAATGTGAGGTTATTATCAATTATAATTCCAAGATATTTTATAGATGTCACTTTTTTTATATACTGTAAGTCATTATTGGATGTACTATTTATTATATCAGGGGGAGGCTTAACAGCGATTTGTAATGAGTTTGTTGTTGAATTTTTTGTGTTTCGAATAGAAAAGTCTATTAATTTTGTTTTGTTTATGTTCAAAGTAAGTAAATGCGCATTTAACCATTTCTTTACAATGTCAAACCTTTTTGAGAGGGGGTTTCAGACCAAGTGTTCGAATGAAACACAAGTGCAGTGTCATCAACGTAGGAAAAGATCATCCCGTTTAAAAAATTGATGTTACTCAAGTCATTTATATATACTAAAAACAAACTTGGGCCGAGAGTACTTCCCTGCGGTACACCGTACGTAATTTGCAGGTCAGAACTACTATAAGGACCAGTCCTAACACATTGAGTTCTATTACTTAAATAACTTTGGAATAAAGATAACTGAATTCCTCTTACTCCTAAAGATTGAAGTTTTGAAATTAGGATAGGTATCGAAACAGTATCAAACGCCTTTGTAAGGTCAAGAAACAAGGCAATACATTTTTGACGTATGTCTAGATTCCTGACTACAAAATCAATAAGGCTGTGGACAGCATCAGATGTACACAATTTTTTTCGAAAACCAAATTGATTTTTAGAGAGCAGTTTATTGGTCTCTAAATAATTAACAAGCCTTGTGTTAATTATTTTCTCGAGGATCTTTGACATCGTAGGCAAAACTGATGTAGGTCTGTAGTTTTCGATACGAAATCGATCACCGGATTTAAAAATAGGGTGAACTATTGCCTTTTTAAACAAATCAGGGAAAATACCTGTCTGGAGACTCAAATTACAAATATATGTAAGAGGTGAAATAATAACATTTTTGTGCTTCTTTAAGAATTCTGAAGAAATACTATCCCAACCAGCTGTTCGGTTGTTATCCAAAGACATAATCAAGCGTTCGACTTCACTCTCGGCAGTTTCAAGCAAAACAAAGGATTTGGAATAAGTAACGGATGCCGGTAATATTGCCGAGCCTCTTTCTAATTTGTCTGCCAATGATTTTCCTATATTTGAAAAATATGTGTTTATATCCTCAACAGATTTTTGAGTATTAATTTCGTTGATGTGTAGGAGATCAGACCCCTTTGATTGCTGTTTAGATAAATTTGTAACAGTTTGAACGACTTTCCACAGTTGTTTGGAGTTTTTGGCGGCTCTTTGAAATTCCAGCTTCTCATAATTAATTTTTGCATTTCGCAGGAGGTTAGTGCAGAAGTTGCGATATCTTTTATAAGTAATTCTTAGAATCTGCGTTGATGGGTCTTTTTTCGATTTTTTATATAATCTATCTCTATATCGCATGCATTTCAACAAAGCCAGAGTGATCCAAGGCTTAATAGGTCTACGTCTACAAGCCGGAAATAAAGTTTTGGTATTGTTGGCTATAGCTGAAATAATAGGTTCGACCAAGAATTTAACAACTAAGTTAGGGTCATTCGTTGTGTATACAGAGTTAAAGTTAATACAGCGTAATTCATGAATAAGCTTATCTCCATTTATTTTTTTTATAAATTTACGATTACATAATTTCATTTTAATTTTTGAGAGGGTGAACATAACGGCAAAGTGGTCTGTAACAGTAGTTTCCAGAACTAAAACCTTTAGCGGAAAAAGCAGTTTTTAAATTAACGTGATCAAGACTGGTAGTACCATGAGTTGGGAAGTTGTGACCAGGAAGAAGTCCATGATGAACAAGTAGATCAAGATAATCTAAAGTATTTGTAGAATGAAACTCGTCGTTAATGTCTCCTACAAGAATAATGAACCGGTATGATTTAAGATTCGTGAGGACAAGATCCAAAGACTGAACGAATTTTGAAAGATCAACAAAAGCGTGTGCTCTATATATAGCAACAATAGCCACATCTACACCTATAGTAATCACCAGACAGTTACATTCAATTGTTATAGGTTCTTTTACTTTAATATTAGCCAAACAAGACTTGATGTATACAATAACACCGTCACTTTTATTGTAGTTTTTTGAAGTTTTATAATGATTATATCCATTGAGAATCGGAATTATAGGATTATAAGATAGCCAGCATTCAGAGAAAACGATAGTGTCGCAGCAAGTATTAATTCTTTCTAACAACGTTAAAAGTCCTGAAAAATTTGTATTGATGCTACGGATATTTTGAGACAAAACAGTGAGACAACTATGATAAGATGTAAGCAAATCAGCACATTTTTCGGGATTACATAATATTGCTTCATTAAAGGAAGTATTATCAAGATTATTTAATAGGTCATTTAATGCAGCGCCTTTTAGTTATGTTTTTAAGTAGGTAGCATAAACAAGATTTTAATTTGTATTCGAAAATAATAATAATTACGCATATTAAGTATATCCATGAATATGTGCAAAGAGCAAATATTATGTAATTTATGAGAGTGTTAATTTGATTTGAGAGTTGAATGTACATGTTTTTTTGTGTGATGTTATAAAAATAGTCGAGCATGTATATATTATTTGTTTGTAAAAATTTTGTGGGTTGATGTGTTAGTAGTTTATACACTAGTATATTATAAAAGTAAACCGTGGGTAGTTTAGAATACATACAGAATAATTTTGTAAATATAAATATAAAGCCAGAGACACACTTAGTTAGACATGCAAGCAAATTACAAGAAATCATAATTAAATATTTAATGAATAATATTATAAATGTACCTAGTCATATTATATTTCTTAAATTTGCAATATCATTTTCATTTTTTATTTCTATTCGAGCGCCACCTTCGGTTTTCCGCAAATAAATTCGGCCCTTGTTAGTCCAGCAATAACGATAATTCATTGTCTTAGCTGTATCACGTGCTAAAATATAAAGTTTTCGGTCCTTCTTTGTTAAACTTTCAGATATATATATATATATTTATCGGAATTGTGGAACTAGAAAGACCAATAGATTTTGAGGAGAGTTTACTATTAATATTAATTTTATTAAACTCTTTCGCTCCACTTAATATCTTATTTTTTGACAGTACCGAAGTTAATTCGGTGATGACAGTAGACACACCGGCTTTGATTTTAATTCGGCAGATATCTTTTATCTCGGATGGGTGAAAATTAACATTTAAAACATCGCAAATCTTTTGAACCAGATCACATAAGTCTTGTTGTGTCTCTTGCTTTATGTTTTGTGCTGGAGTAGGTAAATTACGGAACTCGATGACTGTGGACTTAAGCTTTTTTTGCACGTCTTCTAATCTATTTTCCAGACTCAATATATAATTATGATTTTCCTTTCGTTCACGGTCTAAATTGATAATTTTAGTGTTCATATCTTCATACTGTGTGGATATGAACGTTAACGCCCTTTCCATTTCAATATTAGTTGACTGAATGTTGGCATTTTGTTGCTTAAGTTCGGCAATATCTGAACACAATTTACTCAAAATAAGATCTTGATCCTTCTTCCAATTGGTGAGCATGGATAATAGTTCATCTTTGAGGGAATCATCAATACCTTTCCTTTGATCTTCATTTCTGGGTCTTTTCTGTCTCCTCCCTACATAATTCAGTGGATTTTCAGGTTCAATGTTTGAAATATTACTCTCCGACGACACTTGATGCACTTTACTTCCTGGGGGTGATCTACGTATTATCGACATAATGATCTTTTATTTTAAGTCCGTAGTTTTCGTTGTGGCAGAAGTACACAAGTAGGTACATAAGTAGGTTGTTCAGAAAACAAAAGACGACACGCGGTCAGCTGATGCGCTAAAAACAAATGTACTACGACGCACACACAGTCACGGATAGACACCACATTGATTATATGAACTCCTAGTACTTCGCTGTTAATTAAAGTTGACGGTTAATTTAAAAGAAATATTTAATTAGTGTAACTAAAACACGTCTAATAGCAACCACAGTCAGAGGCAGATGACTTTTTCGAGGTTATATTTACTAAATAAAATTATTTTAGATTTTAGAGCTACTGATTAGTTTAGCAGCACACTTGAACCGGCGACAACTGCTAAGTTCATTTCATCCCTGTAGCTACTCCAGCGCTGTTGTGGGGAGTTTTTGAGCTGTTATTTACTGAATGATTTCTTATATTTACGCGAACACTACACATTGAGATAATACTAGTTTTTACGGAATTTATCGCGTATATTTAACTTTTTAAATACCCGACGTTTCGTTCGTGTTATTTACTGCTTACAGATGACCACTTTTTCAACTATTCTATTATGGGAGTTGGTACTCCTTACTTCTACACTCTATAACCAGTATATTTTAATTTTATCGTAGACGGAGAATTCTCTGAGAATTTTATGGTCTATAGTATAGACTATAGACTCTATACGCCAGTATCACAAACTATAACTATTTTTTTATAAATGGGTACCTACTATAATATATAGCCCGTTCATTGTAAGATGTCCCATGCCTTGGGAAATGGCAGCATTGTCTACGGTGCTGCCAACAATATATGGAGCATTTACCCCACTTGGTGGTTGCTGGCAAAATTATCTAAACTTGAAAACCCCTGATTAATATGTTTTATTTGCTTATTTAAATAATATACAGTTAGTTATAAGACTAGTAAGGTTGTGAATGATAACACAATTTAATTTTTAAATTATTTATTGATTTATTTTTTCCGACAATAATTATGGTCGAAAGGAACAATTCCAGACATACTCGTATCACTGTCACTTTCATAAACATCGTCATCATCATCTGTCGTATCCGAATCTGTGCTGCTGTCATTTCCTAATTCAATTATGAATTTATCAGTAATATCATCCATACAGCCATCAAGTACATAAAACTTGTCTTCTAAATTTTTTACGTGTTCACACTGCTTTTGCCAATCCTGAGGGGTTATAGATGAAAAAGCTTCTTCAGTTAACTTCACGATATTCCCAGCTTCTTGGCCGACATTATTGCTGGCTACTCGTCTCTTTAAAAGACTCCACATAAACTCAATCGCATTTAAATCGCATTGGTAAGGGGGCAACCTAACCACTTTATGGCCATGAGAAAGCAATAATTGTTCAGCCTCATAAATCGGCGCTTCTTTGTGCTCTTTTATAATTTCATAAAGTTCTGCTTTCAGCATTGTTGGTATATAAGACAATCCTTTATTTGTTATTCAATTTTGCGTTTGAAGTTTTGAGGAACTCATAGTAGGTGCTTTATTTACTTGTACGGTATGATAGGGAGCGTTATCCATCACGACTAAAGAGTTCAGAGGCAAATTGGGTATAAGTTTCTCTGAAAGCCATTTTATAAAATTGGTTCTGTTCATGTCGTCATGGTAGTCCCCTGATTTACTCCGTGATTTAAAAATCAATTGAGCATTAGGAATAAACCCTATTTCTCCACCTGCATTAATAATTTTCCACCGCGTTCCAACAGAATCTCTTATTAGTACTCCGTCCTCGTTATCTTTTGGCCAACATTTTTTCACTGCATACGATGCATGAATGTATGTTTCATCTAAGAAAACTATTGGCCGACCATCTGCTCGATTTTGCTTCATAGTAACGATATACTTGCGTCTCCATGCAACTATATCGTACATTTCCATTAAAATTTTCCGTTTCGAACCACACTTTTTATACTGAAATCCAATTTGTTTTAAAACTTTTCACAAAGTCATTAAGACCTCCACCAAAGTTTATGTCATTCTTTAATTCTACAAGTAATTTATTTAAAGTAGGAACAACTTTTCTTACAGTATACATTTCATGGATTTTGTTTCTTATTGCGTATAAATCGAAATCATCAAGATCCACCGTTTTACGTCTTTGACGGTGTTTTCAAGGAGACTTGAGTTTTTGAGATGTAGAGGCAGCAGCTTCACCTTCTTTAGATATTCTACTCACGGTTTTCTCCGACATGCCTGAAATAGACACCAAATTTGTATCATTTTATAAAATTAAATATTTATAAAATACAAATACAGACATTATCATAAAAAAATAAATTAAATTAACTGAGATACGTACTTTTTTATTTTAATTCGTAATGTTAGTAATTTCTTATTATTACCCATACTAAAGGCATTTTTCGTGAAGCTGGCATCCCTATTTTACTAACCTGTCATGGCGGTGACGCGAGTTCGCACTTGATTGAGTGGAATTAACGGGGCTTGGTTTGCCTTTTCTCTCTCACAAAAGGCACGCACCTTCAACGCAACCTCTCTTGCACTGCTTCTAAATGATTTCGGCACAATTAATTCGGAATATTTTAAATAATAACACAAAAACCAGCGTTATAATCACAAACTGACAACAGATTGACAAGCAATAGTGCCAACATCACAGCAGGGGACATCTTACGGTGAACGGGCTATACATAGCGTAGCGTAACCAGTGTATTATAAGTGATTTCTATATATCGATACTTTAATCCATAGATAATATTTTAGTTTAAGAGTAGGTTTTAACTTTTAACCATGACTAAGGGTAAGTTTTAAAGAACTCTTCATAACTTTTTATTGTACAGGCTTTCACCATAATTCTTTTTATAATAATTATTTTATTGTTTTCAAAATTTTTATTTTCAAAATCACGCTCAACGTACTTTATGGTGATTTTTCATACCCTGTAGCTACTTGGGCGCTGTTGTGGAGAGTTTTTAAACTGTTAATTACTGCTTGCAGATGAACACATTCTCAACTATTCTCCTATGGGATATTGTGAATCTACGGAAACAGCCCTGATCAGTGTCATTGACAGGGCCGAAAAAGCACTGGAGGATAAAGAAATAGCTCTTTGTGTCTTTCTAGATATTGAGGGCGCCTTCGACAGTAGCCCCATATCACTACTGTTTGGGGGCCTGACATCTGAAAATGTTGACCTCACAACCATCAGATGGAAGTCGATGTACTCAAATAAAAAGGCAAATATAGCGCTGTTTCAAACTTTGATTGAGGTTGCAACCACAAGAGGCTGCCCACAAGGAAGTGTTTTGTCACCCCTTCTTTGGACTCTTGCGGTTGACCAACTGTTGTACAAAATGGCAGACCTGCGCATTGACACACTAGCTTATGCTGATGACCTTGTGATCACTGCGAGTGTCTTTTACCAAAGTACTTTATTGTCAATCATACAAAGAGCCATAAACACCATAAATAACTGCTTATCAGTTAATGCTGATAAAACTGTTGTAATACCCTTTACCAAAAAGAGACGGTTGTACAAATTAGTCCCACCAAAACTCGGTCGGTAAAGAAGTACCATTTTTCACTGAAGTTAAGTACTTGGGCGTAACAATCGACCAAAAACTAACGTGGAAATCTCACCTTAGCAACATATGCCATAAGCCAAAAATTTCTTTAGGTACGTGCAGTCGTTTAGTCGGGAACAACTGGGACTTGCGTCCCAGTATGGTCCTATGGCTGTACAGCAGCATAGTGAGGCCGATTCTCACCTACGCCTTTATTGTCTGGTGTAACAAAGCCAACCAAAAGACGAATGCGGACAGACTAAATAGTCTACAAAGGACTGCCTGCTTAATGGCAACTGGAGCTATGCAATCATCGCCTGGAGCGGCTCTTAATACACTTCTATGCCTAACGCACCTTGATTTATATCTAGACAAGGAAGCGATCGCAAGTTTATATAGGATTAACGCCCAGGTCGGTCTGAGCTTGCTTTCCTACAGATTAAGATCCATGCTCGACTCAATTAAGGAAACATCGGTCTTATCCATGATTTCAGACATCATGCGTCTACTACACACTTTTGATAAAAAGTATATAGTGGAATTACCCTCCAGAGAAAACTGGCTGAATGGCCAGGATATCCGTGAGGTCAGTAGCCTCATATGATATACCGATGGGACTAAAATGGGCCTCGATGTAGGGTTTTGAATTTATGGGAAACACCCCAACGTCAAACTTAGTATAAATTTGGGTAGATTCACCTCTATCTTTCAGGCAGACATTTTAGCCATACTTCAGTGTGCGGAAATCAATCTGCAAAAACACTACGTCAACCATATAATTTATATAAACTCTGATAGTCAAGCAACACTGCTGGCGCTGAGGTCAAACTTAGTGAGCTCGAACCGTTTAAACGCCCTGGGATGTAACAACAGCGTCGTCTTACGATGGGTTCCGTGTCATTGTAGGCAACAAATTTGCCGACAAACTTGCTTGGGAGGGCTCAAAGCGCACATAATTTGGACCTGAGCTATTTTGTGGAATCTCAAGAAGCCCAGCCCGATTGAAACTTAAAACCCTTTACCACAATAAATCACTTAAGATCTGGTTTGACATACTAGGCTTAAAACATTCTAAAACTTGATCCAGGCTTTTGATCGTAAATTCGCTTCAGAAGCCCTGGGATTTAGTTAAAATAAATTGCGCAATCTGGCAAGAGCCCTAACTGGACACTGTTGTCTTAAAAAGCACATGTCCATCCTGGGACTAAGCAACTCAAGGATGTATCGGTTCTGTTCCATAACGGAAGAAACGCCTCTGCACATCCTAACTGATTGTGGCCCCTTAATGCGCAAACGTAACACTCATCTGGGAAACTATGTACTCCGACCAGAAGAAGTGAAATTGCTCACGGCTTAGCAATTCCATCTATTCATTGAAGACATAGGGCTTAGTAGTGAACTATAGCCATAGCAGCGATCAAAATAG